CCTTAATTGTTATCTCTGTGGATGATTAACATTAGCTGGTCAAGCCCAGGCTAGCTGCCAGCATCCTACATCCCCCTGTACTGACACCAGGCCTTACCCAGCAGTTATCAGCGGCCCAGACCCCTAGTCACTTCCTAGATATGACCTGGAATAAGTTTTTAACCTCTCTGAGCCTCTCTTCCTTGTCTGAAAAGTGAGAATAGTAATAGCATCCTTGACCGTAAGTGTGAAAAGTCAACTTGGCACCTGTAGTGCGTAGTCTGATAGTGTAGTAACTATTCTAGCAAATATGGGTACAGACTGAGAAGCCTCTCTGTAGTGGTGTTACTGTGGAAGAGAGCTGTCAAACCGCTTCCTGTTGTGAGGACCCAAAGCCCACAAGACTGGATCTTGGAGTCTGAAGTGGTCAGGAGGGAGGGGACTGAACTGCTGTTGGCCTTGCACATCTGGGTGTCCCTTAAGCTCTGGGTAGCTGCTCAGAGAAGCTGAAAAATCAGCAGAAACCAGATATAATTAGAGAGCAGAGTCCATGACAGGGTGAAGGAAATTAAAAAAAAAAAAGCCCACCTACGCGAGGGTTTGACACTGCCTGGACAAATTGGACAGAGTGCATGGCTCCACGGAGGAGCACAAGACCCCCTGTAATTACAGACTGATCGCTCTACTTGCCTTCAGCAGAGTAGATAATTAACTCTCATTTCCCTATCAACACTGAGGAATGAGTTTTTACGTGAATTTTTCAGATAGCTGAAGTTGATCCCGGTGGTCCCTAACATTTTTTCCCATTGAGTCACTCTGGGGAGAAATTTCTCTGCAATGGGTAACGAACTTCCTTGCTTCCCTGGTCAGAAGTGTTTAACATAGCTCAGCTTTCTCCTGCTGGGTCGGATACCGGCGGCGGCTGTGTGTCCATCCTCCGATGGCTGCAGGTAGCTGTACTTTCTTAGTCTCTGTGTTTTCTGTTTATTTCCATGCTTTCCTGCTTGGACACAAAGCTGTTGGGATGTGGATGTGTGTACATGTGTGTGCAGATGTGTGTGTGTGTGTGTGTGTGTGTGTAAGTCAGAGGACAACTTTCCAGAATCTGATCTCTCCTTACACCACTTAGGTCCTGGAGAACTAAGAACTCAGGTCTTCAGTCTTGATGGCAAGCCCACCACCTTAGTTTTGAGACAGTCTCTTACTGAATCTGAAGTTGGCTGGCCAGTGAGATTTTGAGATCTGTCTGTCTCTGCCGCATAAAACCGAGGTTGCATTGCCACATAAAACCGAGGCTATTATGTGGGTGCTGGGGATTTGCTTTCACAGCAAGTGTTCTTCCTTAGCCCTGCCTTGTGTTTTTAGGGGCTTCATAACACTGAGACACAAATGTTGGCATGTTTATACACACATCTGTTTGTAGTGTGAGGAGCCAGGGTTGTATTCTCATGACTTCTACAATGTCCTAAGCCACCTTTATTCTAGCATCGTCATTGAGTGCTGAATTCTATGACTCTGTGTCAGCCACAAACACCCCATGATAAACTATTCATCTCCAGAGAGAGCAAGTCACCTCTTGCATGTTGTATGAACTTTCCTGGAGAGAAATGAACAAACATCTACTCCCCTGAGATGGGGCATCAAAGTAATGGATTCCACAAATGGAACAAAGTAACAATTTCACCAAAGTACAATTTGACAAAACTATGAGTTTAACAGGCTTTACATCCAGAACACAAATGAAGGGTCATTGACACGAATTAGGGGGCCATATCCCTGAAAAATTCTCATTCTCACTTGCATGGATGACAACTTCCTCATTGCTACAGAGATGGAGTCTTCCTTCATTTAACCCACCCTACCTCCTATATAGTCCGGCACCCCTCAAGTCCCCAAGCAGCTGGGGACTACTACACACAGCCAGGAGGGAGATGTAGGAAAGAGAACCTGGAAGCCATACTCTCATCTGTGGGTGAACATCGACAGGCCTGATCTTTTTTTTTTGGTTTTGGTTTTGGTTTTTCAAGACAGGGTTTCTCTGTGTAGCCCTGGCTGTCCTGGAACTCACTCTGTAGACCAGGCTGGCCTCAAACTCAGAAATCCGCCTGCCTCTGCCTCCCAAGTGCTAGGATTAAAGGCATGTGCCACCACTGCCCGGCTAGACAGGCCTGATCTTGATGGTCCCTTGCAAGTGCTCGCAGCAGCTTGATGACGGTGATAGTGTCTGCTCCTCTAGTGCTCCACAACACGTCACCCCTAGGCACTTGGGAGATACTAAGCAGACAAGTGAGAGATAAAAGTGACCAAGCGGAGCTCCAAGACCCTGTGACAACATTCTGTCTCCTTATCCAGGGCACGGTTTTGTTATATTCTGCTTTGGGGCTGTTCCAGAGAGAATGGAGGTCCCTGCCAGACATGGCGGGTCACACCCACAATCCTAGCACTTTGGAGGCTAAGTAACTGTCTGAGGCCAACTTGAACTTCAGAGTGAAATCCTCTCTGAATAAAGAAAAGAAAAACTTAGGGAGGTATGGATATGCACCTGAAATGTAAAGCGTTGCTACGTGCCCAGCAGGACATGAAAGGGTGCTACTAGCTTCAGACTTCCAGTTTCCTCTAGAGTCACTGTGTCCCCAAAAGGTATAGGAATTACTTGTCTAGATCCTGAGGCTGCTCACAGTGGTGAGTGGAGAGGACGCCGTCCATGCTGAGCTATCACTCATCTGCTTTACAGTCACCTCCAAGCATCCCATCTTGGAATATCCCCCAGTGAGTATTCCAGGTACCTGAGCAAAGACCTGGAATCAGAATGCCTGGGCTGCCCTGCAACAGTCATGTAACTTCCATGACCCTCTGTTTTGCGGTCTATAAAGTAAAGAATGAAGGGAAACCTGCGAGGATTAGATACTGTTCCTACATCTGAGACTTCCAGGATGGGGCCTGGCACAAGGAGAGATTTAAACAGCACTGTCATTGTTGTAATGGAATCACAGCACATACACATTGAATGCTAACTACAGGCGCTTGGCAATAAAGAGAGAGGGGGAAGGGCACAGCTCACTGCTTAAAGTACTTGTCTAGATCCCCAGAACTTATGTAAGTGCCTGTGGGTGTGGAGGCTGCAGGTACTTCCAGCTTCAGAAAGTAGAGACAGGGATCTCCAGAAAAAGCTGGCAGAGGAGACTAGCCACATCCACAAACTCTGGGTTCGGCTGAGAGACCCTGCCTCACTGAATAAGAGGAAGAGTGATCGAGGAAGATTCCTGACATCACCTTGGGCCTCCTCCAGCATGTGTGCATACACCTGCACGGCATGCACACATGCAAACATGCCCACAAACATGCAAATGTGCATATATACACATTCCAAAATGGGAAAGAGAAAGAATGTGTGCACGCGCACACACAGTTGATAATTCTGTCAGTCTTCTCGTTCCCTGAAAAGATTTCCCAGAAAGAAAGTGGGCTGGGGGATGCTACACTACTGCCCCTCGGTTTCTCTGTCCTGTGAACCACTCTCAGCACGAGAGGAGCCTGCCACTCTGAATGGACTGGAAACCAAAGGCAAGGTCCACTCTTAGTTTAGCAGCCCAGTCTGTACGCATCAATATTCAAGGCACAGATGAAGGAGGTCACAGATGAATAAGACAAGATGAGGGGGTGGAGATCAGAGACTCAGTGGTCCTGTCTACTGCAAGGTAGATGTAGGCTTCTGGATAGTGACCCAGCCCTGGCAAAGCTGGTGGAGCCCCTGCATACTCACAGGCCAAGCCAATCTCTGCCTTCTTAGCCCTGCTCAGCACCAGTGCTACTGTGTCTCTGCTCACCCCAAGGACACATTTCTCATACCACTCACCTGACCCTTTCCTCCCAGTGTCTAAATCCTAGAAAGCTGGGGTGCAAAGACCAGCTGGCCATCTGTGTCCATAGGCAGCAGAGTCACCCTCGATTCCAGCTGTCCAGGGCTGAGGTGCTCTTTGGAACAGAGGACTGTTGGTGCTGAAAGCAAGACAGATGGTCCTCTGGCAGGCAGACAAGTGAGCCATCTTTCACTGCCCACTTGCAACGAGAAGCCCTCACCTGACTGCCTTAACTGGAAGCAATCTTTCTTGCCTTAGAAATCCTAGAACCGTATTTGAGCCCGTCAGTAACTAAACTCCACTCCCACTCAAAACTCCCAGCGTTTGGGGGAATGTCTTATATTTGTTGTGCCCTGAATGCACCAAGAGGATCAAAGTGGGAGGTGACAACAGGCTGGATGACTTTCCTGAGGTTCTGGACCACTATATCCCTTTCCATGGCTTAGAATGCAGGTTCCCAGAAAGCCATCCGTCTTGAAAACATTTAATTACAGGAAGGGATCTCCTAGGCTGTTTGTCACCTCCCAGGGATACATTAAAAAAATTTTCCCTGCCCTTTCTGAAGGAGCTTGGGCAGTGAGGAAATTGAACCAGTAGGGGCGGAAGAATCAAGGCTGTCTGGAAGGGAGGGGGAGGGGAGGGAGAAGCGGGGGGGGGGGGGGTTAATGCATATGGAGTCAGAAGACCAGTCCCTAAGTAAATGAACACGTGAGAGGTTAAGCCTGTGAGTGGAGAAGAGAAAAGAAGCTTCACAGACAGACATGAGGCTGGGCCCAGCTGGCCCTGAGAGGAACAGGGTCACAGAGCGAGGTGGCAGGAATGGCAAGGAAAGGTCCAGATGAGAGGATTAGCGGTAGACCCACCAAAGAGAGCTTCCCCGAGACAGAGGGAGGCAGAAAGCTGTGACCAGGTTTGCATTGGAGGAGAGGCACGTGACATCGATTGAAAGCGAGCGACAGGGCTGGAAGGTTTTTGAGGCTATGCCTTCTTCAGCTCCTGTGAACACTTGGTGGCTTGGTGGAGCCTGACAGAGGTCTCTAGATGCCAAGGATTCCATCCAGATACCCCCAACAGCTTGGTTTCCAGGGGTCGTGGAGATGGTAAGGTCAAGCGGACCCTTGTTCTAAGGAAAGCCCTGACCAAGCGTATTCTTTCTTGCAGGCTGTGACAGCGAGCACTGGGGTCCCCACTGCAGCAACCGGTGTCAGTGTCAGAACGGCGCGCTGTGCAACCCTATCACCGGCGCCTGCGTGTGCGCCCCCGGCTTCCGAGGCTGGCGCTGTGAGGAACTCTGCGCGCCGGGTACTCACGGCAAGGGCTGCCAGCTGCTCTGTCAGTGCCACCATGGTGCCAGTTGCGACCCGCGCACTGGCGAGTGCCTCTGCGCACCTGGCTACACAGGCGTTTAGTGAGTAGCGAGGGCGTGGCCTGGGGTGGGACCAGGGCGAGGTCAGGGTTGGGAAATAGGGATGGGGCAGAGCCAGGAGACTAGGTCCGATGCCCGGGCTGGGGGCGGGGGTGAGGCGGGAAGGAGCGTGGCCTGAATGACCCTGGCTTGGAACAGGACAGGGCTGGGGCCTGGAGGCCCTCATCAGGGCTTTCAAGGCTTTTGGGCAACTTCTTAGCACCTTAGCGGGGAGGAAGAACAGAAAGTCCTGGTTATGACATCTGCCCTCTGATCCCAAGTGCCGCAGTGTCTTTAAGTAAGTACCCAGGCCTCACCCACACAAGTCCCAGATCCAAGCCAGAGGGCCCTTCCTAGTTAGGGGACACAAGTGAGTTTGGCCTCCTCTTTTGACTTTCGTAATATGCCTGTTTGCCCCATCCTAATTGAAATAGGACGGGTGAGAGCCCATCTGATGTATCATGTGCAGATTGGCCCCTCACTTCTGTGCCCTGGGGAAGCCATACTGATAGGGGTCCCTAGGATAGCTTAATTGACACTCTCAAAGACAAGATTGGTCCTTCCAGCCTAGCCGAGGCTCTGTAGCGTTCTCTGAGATCCATAAGCAGAAGCCAAGGATGCTGACCACAAGACATTCTGGAATGACAGCCTTTCCTGCCCCAGTGTCTGATCAGCTCCCATGATGCCATGGCCATTGGAATGAGACCCAAGGCAATGATCCAGACCCTTTCCTGCACTTCCACAGTGGCTGGTCCCCTCATCATGGCAGCTGGGAGCCTTTCAGAGCCCAGGAAAGACATTCCTTGGTGTTTCCATCTTCTCTCTTTGAAAACAGGCAGGTTTTCTGGAGCTGGAGAAATGGCTCAGTGGTTAAGAGCACTGATTGCTCTTCCAGAGGTCCTGAGTTCAATTCCCAGCAACCACATGGTGGCTCACAACCATCTGTAATGGGATCTGATGTTCTCTCCTGACATGCAGGTATACATGCAGAGAGAGCACTCATACACATAAAATACAAACTAAAAACTCTTTAAAAAAGAGAGGAGGAGAAGAAATAGGCAAGTTTTTAAAGGCAGAATCCATGGCCACATCTTAGCTCTGTTGTTCGTGCTTTTTCACCTATCTGGTGTGCCCTTTCGCCCTCTCCGTGCAATCAGCTTCACCTTCAAGACCATCTTCTTCTTAGGGAAATCTCTTCAGCCTTCTCCCCAGAACCTTCAAGTGCTGGCCCAAGTGCCCTACGGTTTAATATATCTGTCTCCCCCTACTGGCAGGGATCAGAACAGCCACGCTTAAGATGGTGGGGGAGGGGCTTCAGGCTCTCAAGTCCGCAGGTGGGCTGATTACTGACGTCATCTACACCTGTTTTTTTTTGGGGGGGAGTCAGGTGCCAGGTTGGGGTCCGCCCGGGTTGAGACTATCTGTTCTCGGAGACTCGGCTCACTAGGGAGTCCTGCAGCATTGGGACTGAGCACTAGGGCGCTATCGGGAATTCTGCTGTCCGATGCTCTTCCTCTCATTGCAGCTGTGAGGAGCTGTGCCCCCCTGGGAGCCATGGAGCTCACTGTGAGCTACGCTGCCCCTGCCAGAACGGAGGGACCTGCCACCACATCACTGGCGAGTGTGCCTGCCCTCCAGGCTGGACGGTAGGTGGGCCCTCAAGGTCTGAGTGGGCATCGTAAGAGGCATTGGCACCATGAAAGGCTGAATTCCCCTCTCTGCCCCTGTTTATAGTCATAAGCCATCACGAGACACTAGCAGCGAAGAGTCCCAGGTCTAGGGTCTGTGTGGCTGAAGCAGGTTTCTTAGCCTCTTTGAGTCAGTGATCTCTCACCGGCAGAGGAACTGTATTTTCCTCATATGATTGGCAATGTCTAGGGCTGCACACGTAGCCCAGTTGGTAGCAATGCTTACCTAAGATGCATGGAACCCTGGATTTGATCCCTAACACCTCATGAAGCCAGGCATGGTAGCATAAACCTATAATTCCATCATCTGGGAGGTGGAGGCAGGAGGATCAGAAGCTTAAGGGTATCCTCAGCTATATAACAAATTCAAGGCCAAGCCTGGGCTACATGAGACCCTGTTTGAAAAAGAATGTTTTTAATTTAAAAAAAAAATTGACTCTGGATTTGGGTCTGGGTACCCAAAGGAGCTTCAGGTGTGGCAGAAGAGATTGGGAAAGAGGAGCCTGTTCATTTGGATTTGTGAAACGTTACCCTACCTCACATATTCATCTAACTCTGTGGTCCCTAGAATCTGTTATATTCCCAAGTGCTTCAGGTACTTCTGCTGCAACCTCTCCCACCACAGATCTCTCCAGTCCAGGAACCCCAACTATGGGAAAGTAGGCAGAGAGATATAGCCTCACCCACAGAGGCCTGCCTTCAGGTGACACATCCAATGTGGCACCCCCTGCCCCCCCAAACTTCCCTGACTCTGGCCTCAGCTTCCCCCCACACAAAAGTGACTTGCCTTCAAGGAGCTTTGCTTGGGCTAGCTGTCATGGTAGGCAAAGTCCTCAGGTGAAACTGCATATCCAAGGTGCTAGGCACAAATCAAAGCCTTTTATACCTGCTTGATATATACCCCTGGATGTTACAGCCTAACCACAGCCTGCTGTTAGCTGCCACCTTTCTCTGTTAGCACCTCCCTCCAGACTCAAGCCCCTGAAAGGCTGCCAGCCTCTCCCCACTGTAGTCCCTGTAATATGCCCCACTTCAGGAGAGGCTCAGCCAGTTGCCTCCCCAGGGCCTGAAGTCAGGGCTGCTGAGCAGAGCAAGATATTTCAGGAGGCTTTCAACACCAGGCTCCCAAGGGCAGCCAGGAAGGACACCTGCAGGCCCACGATGCTTCTAGACAGGGAGAGACCTTAGGAATCCAGTGTGACCAAATATGGCTGCACACTGGAGTCAATGAGGAGTCAAGAGGTCACGCTTGAGCCTATGGAATGCCATCTTTAATAAGCTCCCCAGGCGACTCTGAGGAAGGCAGAGTGCAGACACAGCCTCACTTGAATGTCATCAATCAAGAGCAAGGTACTGCCTTCTGTGTTCCATAGAACACTTTAGCTCCTTGGGGTGGGTGGGGAATGGGAAGCCTTGACCTTGGGGCTCCGGCTCCTAAAACCCCATCGTAGTCTACTCTCAGTGTTGACGTTCTAGGTAATAGGTCATGGAAACAAAACCAACCACAGCTTGAAGAGTCTGACACCATGGTCTGACCATAGAAGCCGTTTCCTGAATGAGGGTGTTGAGAACAGGGAAGGATAGGCCATAGGCCACAATGTTGGTTAGCAGTGAGGTGGAGTTAGAACCTGGGTCTCAACTCCAGAACCACCTGACTGACCGACCCATGTTCTCAGTATCTCGTCTCTTTCTCCCTTCCTCTCTTTCTCCTCCCTCTTCTCCCCTCCCCCCTCCTTCTGGCTCTCTCTTTTTCTTTTTATCTTTCTTTCCTTCCTCACCCTGTCTTTCTGTGTTTCTTTCTTTTTCCTCTCTATCATTTTCTTTCCTTTCTCTTTCTCTTCCCTCTGTTCCTCTTTTCTCTCTCTACTCTTCTGAAAGGACAGAGGGATGCGATCACCTCTCATCTGTCTTCTTTTCCTCTGACCTGCTCTTAGAAAGGCCTCTATCACCAGTCAGGTTCCAGGTATCCAGTGCCCACCGGTGGGGATAAAGGAACCCCATTAGTCGGGGAGGGAGTCCTGAGCCTCAGAGGCATCTTCTGACATGCTCCTATGGGCCATTGTTCTTCAGGGAAAAGGAGAAAGCTAACCCATAGCGGTGGCTCTCTTCCTAACACACTCTTTTCAGGTGACGTGAAATCTGTCTATAGGAAGCATTGGTGCTGAGGGCTTTGTTTTAAATTTTATGACAGACAATCGCATTTCTATTTTTGACATAGCATTGAACTTGCAGATTTGCATGAATTATTAATACCCCGATGCATGCCAAGTCATAATGTAATGAAGCTTCGGCTCAGGCCTGAGGCTTCTCCAAGGGAGAGCAGGGGCCAAGGAAAGGCCGCTGAAGGTAATGGTCACTTGTCCTTATCTTCCATTGCCCGACTTGCCACTGGCCCCCGTGGGGATTCAGCTGATGGAATGGTGCTCACTACCACCGCTCGGCTGAGACACAGTACAGAGAAGCTTCTGGAAGCTTCTGGCCCCTCTGGCCCTCCAGGCTACTGGCCCCCAAGAATGCCACAGGCCCCTCCACTTGCCTGGCTATAATGAGCCCAATGTGGGGAGGCCCGTACAAAGAGCCTTCAAGCTTTTTCCCTGATTTTGAGACCTTGCAGAGCAAAGAGGGTAACTGGGGGTAGGTAGCTCAATGGCAGTGGAAGCCAGAGAAGGCATTTGAAGCTTAGAGGCTTTGGAGTCTCAGACACTAGGGGTTGGAAAGATGACTTTAGAGGCCCGTGGCTGGTCCTGAGGTTAGGATCACCACCATAGCACCTTCACCAGTCACTGCTTAGTGTCCTCACCATTGGTGCCACTCTGGGACATTAATGTGAATGTCTGAAATGCTGGTAAGGCTGAGCCCCCATCTTGGCCCCTTCCTTTTGATCTTCTGTTGAGCAGGGACTTCTTACAATGTTGCTGCTCTTGAGAGTCCCACAGAAACATCAGGTCTGACAAGTCGGAGGACCTTCTAAATCTTATGTAGCCCAAGAGCCCACGATAGCAGAGCCACACTTGACCTTCTCAAGTGGCCAAAGGCCTCAGACCAAATGGCTCAGACAATAGGAATTGGTTTTCTCATGGACTCGGAGGCTGGGTGTCAGATAGCAAGGTCTTCTTCATCAGGCAGGGCTGATGACTTCTGAGCCTCTGTCCCCAGTCTGGAGTCTTTGCGTGACCATCCCTCTGGCCTTCTCATAGATCCCAGGATCTCTAGAACAAAGGCGACACCACCCATGAAGGGCTAAGCCCTCCCGTATCAATTACTAACAAAGATAATGTACTACAGGGCCTGGAGAGATGGATGGCTCAGTGGTTAGGAGCACTGGCTGCTCTTCCAGAGGCCCTGAGTTCAATTCCCAGCAACCACATGGTGGCTCACAACCATCTATAATGTGATCTGATGCCCTCTTCTGGTGTGCAGATGTACATGCAAATAAAGTACCCATATAAATAGATAAATCTTAAAAAAAAAAAAAAAAGCCAGGCAGTGGTGGTGCATGCCTTTAATCCCAGCACTTCAGAGGCAGAGGCAGAGGCAGGCAGATTTCTGAGTTTGAGGCCAGCCTGGTCTACAGAGTGAGTTCCAGGACAGCCAGGGCTACACAGAGAAACCCTGTCTCGAAAAACAAAAAGAAAAATGAAAGAAAGAGAGAAAGAAAGAAAGAAAGAAAGAGAGAGAAAGAGAGAAAGAAAGAAAGAAAGAAAGAAAGAAAGAAAGAAAGAAAGAAAGAAAATGACTTACAGGCTTGTCTATAGGCCAGTTTTATGAAGGCATTTCTCAATTGAAGAGTCCCTTTCTCAAATGCCTCTAGTGAGTGTCAAGTTGACATATAACCAGCCATCATCATGTCTGTCCTTTTACATTCTTCCAGGGGCAACGGTTTAAATCCTCAATATTTGCATAGCAACCACATTACTGGTTGAACTAACCCTCCAATCCGATACACGTCTATCTTAATCTTTTCTTGTAAGGACATGAGTTAGAGTGGATGAGGGCCCACCCTACACAAGTCTTTAGCTTCATTTCTGCAAAGGCCCCATGCCCACAGACAACCATATCTAGACACACTGGGAGTTAGGATTGCAGCCTGTGAATCTCAAGATGATAAAGTCACAGCCGGAAGGGAACCCTCGTGCTGGCCTGCCTCCTCCAAAGGTCATGCTTCCAGTCAGCAGTAGTTGATCATTTATGGAGTCCTGTACCACCTCAGCAATGCCAGCTTCCTTCAGTTGACAGTCATTAAGCACAGCTCATTAAGACACTATTCCGGCTTCCTTTGTATCTCTGATCTCAGTTATCTTTACAGCTTCCTAGAGACCAGGCTTCACCCCCACCAATGTGTGTGTGGTGAGGTGGATTGCTAGGCATAATCTCCTGCCCCAAGTTGTCTTGGAATTTTTTTCAGGGTTAGAGGACCCTCAAACACCCCCAGATAGTAAGGACAGAATTGCACAGAAGCCAGAGACCCCTCTTGTCACTCGTGAATCCCTAAGCTCATGGGTTTCGTGGGAAAGCTACCCCCATCTCGACTTCTGTCCTCCTTTCTCAGCTCCCGAGCTCCTCCCCTCGGCTCCCGAGCTCCTCCCCTCGGCTCC